TTAAACAAACCACTTGTTGGTCTACAAGCATTTATTCCAACACCTCTGGTCTCGAAAGCACATTTCAAACGCTGTTTCCGACACTGTTTCGGGTGTGTTGTGGCAGGTTCCCGCACCGGGCAGTACTTTGAGGCTGAGGGTTGGGGGCGCACGGGGTGCAACAGGCAGAGAGACGGAAATGACGGGTAGGACCTACGATGAGATTCAGTCAATAACGGGAGAGAGATTATGGGCAACACTGCAGACTAACGGTCACCTGTCGAAAGGGAGAGCGGATTTGCGAGAGCAGTGTGTTCAAAACAGAGTAAGAAGTGGATCAATAATATGCATTAGCCCGAAATGGCCAATGAGATATGAGATCAGACAAAAAAGCACCACTCAAATAAGCATAGCAACAAAGAGGAGAGTAAGTACCGAGCAGTGAGTGATTGCATTAGGGTGCTGCAGTCGCAAAGAAACGATCATTCGGAAGCGGTTGTCGGCGTGGATGGTGCGTGCGAGTGGCGGGAGCAAAGGCTGCCGAGGAGGGGAGTGCGAATGGGAAACACTAGCGGCGCCGCGAGCGAGAGTCTGGCGTGGATGATTTTAGGTGCAAGTGGGTGGCGCGAGCGTGCGGAGACGGCGGCGCCGTTGCACGAAGGCGACGGTGTTTGGGTAGCATGGACAAATGGAGCCGCGAGCGGGTCGTGGGCACAAATGAGCTTAGCGTGAAAGCATAATGGGGTGGAAGGGCATAAGCGCTTGTGAATGGGTGACGGGGGTGGCTAGAGCGCCGGGCGGGTGGTTGGAGATGTATGCGTAGGCGCATGAGAAGGGGCGGTGCGTGAAAGTGGGTGGCGCGAGAGATCCGAGTGGTTGGCGAAAAAGAGAGAAGCGCGTGCGAATGGGTTGCGATGGGTTTGGGTAGCTCGTGCAATCGCAGACACTAACGCGGATGAACGTCGGTTGCGCGAGTGTTTCGGTGTCACGTGCGATGGAGAGAGCTCAGCGCATCAACGTAGCCGCGTGCGAATCGGTTGCGAGAGGATTTGGGAGTCGCGTGCGATCAGTGTGAGTAGAGCGTGCATATCGGTTATGCGTGAATTTGGATGTCACGTGCGATGTAGTGAGCTGAGTGTATGAGCGTTGGCGCGTACGAATCGGTTGCGCGTAGATTTTGGCGTGATCGGAGTGAGGAGAGCAGATGAGCGGATGAGCGTAGTCGCGTGCGAGTGAGTGGCGCGTGGACGATCGCTCGTGCGATCGGAATGATTGGCGCGGATGCGTGTACGCGCGTGCAAATGTGCTGCACGAGCGGGTAGAGATGCGAGTGTGCGCAGGCGTGCCACACCGGCCATCGCGTGTATGGATGGGGGCGTTCCCTTTCGCTCGAGGGCTTTTAGTTAATTAAACAATTAGAACCGTGCGTTGCCCGGCGCGCTCTCCCGGAGGACTCGCGAATTGGGAGCGCGCCCCTCACAGTGCACGGTGCCCCGCGAGCACCATCAGGAGCTCGGGTGCTGCCTCGTCTGTTGCTTCGGAGTTATTCTGTTCGGCTGCTGATGGAGTAGGTTGCAGTTTCATGCATTGTGAATTGACTATTTGCTGATTTGTTATTTTATAGCCTTATTTCTTTTTATCTTTGACAGTATTAAAGTTTTTTTCGGTTATATTGTAGAATAAATGTTAATGTTCTAAGATACATTATAATAGTTCTGTTTACCAGAGTAGAACCTGTTCCCCTTGATTTCTCGTATACGTTCTCTACCTATCCTTCTCATGACTCCGAACTGTCCCTCATAGTTTCCTCATCCGCCCGCAAATGTCTTCAAACTGTCCCCCAAAACTTGTAATTTCTCGTAACTCAGTTATCGCGACCTGTCAAATAAGTCGCGTCTCTATTTGAGAGACAAAGATAGTTTAAAAGGCTTAGTACGCATGGTTTGCGAGTTATGTGAATACAGTGTGTGTATCAATTATGTATTTTATATCACAATCTGGAAATTTTTATGTTTTCGTCTGAAATCTGTTGGATACAGAACTGATATGTAATTCTCTTCCCACCAGTACCACAGGGTTTCTATCCTTGGTCTCTTACAAACTGCCATAAACTGTCATCTTTACTTACGTATCGTGTGATGCACTACACAATTATTACAAATCTCTTTCCATTCTGATGGTGTTGGGTTTTATTTTAATTATTTATGTACTAATTAACAATTTGATTAATTTATTCTAATGTTGAACAAAAGCATGCTAATATTTTATTTATTTATGGATTTATGAATCGGAAATTTTTGGTTGTTAAAACGAATTGTCAAACAATGACAAAGCTATTGTAAAATGAACGTATTTCGTTTTAATAACATTTAACTAATTTTTAAATAATTTAGAGTACTCTTCTGTAACCTTGATCTGGTTTACAAAAATGATGAACATGTATGCTACGCAATGTTAATCAAGAACAGCTTAGTTGTTTCTGCTAATGTGAGGAGTTCGGGCCACTGGGTAACTCTTCACTCTTATTCAATGAACAGTATTTCTTGGAAACTCAATGTTTCTGGCATTGACGTACCTCAGGATTCTCAAAAATATTTATTTTATAGCCTACAGTCGCCTGCATACGCCTTAGTCGATTACCAAACTCATATTGAACAGGTACAACATTGTCAGTTACTCTTTTTTTAGCATCATGTCTTAAAATAGCCGAAGGACTCGATGCAACCTAGCGGGGAAGATATTTCTAACGTGTAGCAGATGCGTTACAAACTTCGCCGAGGATAAAATTAATATCACAACTTTCGTTTATGGTGAAATAACGCGAAATTGCTGCTGTACACACCTAACCACATTTCGAAAATAATTTTGGAAGATCGTCTAGAATAAATACATTTTGGAAAGGTTTTCTATTTCACTGGACATTTGTTAGCAAAGTGTTGCGATAAACATTAGCATATCGCAAATGGAGTTCATTCCAATACAGTGACTGAAAAGTTTTGCACACTTTTCAAGAAGTGTTTCCGTCGAAACTAAAGGGAATAGCCAAATAAAGGATCTGATATTTTCGACTTTATTTGACGTGTTCATTCACATATTATGAGCTTTTACGAACGTTAAGGGAAACTTCTAACTAAGAGTAATATTATGTGTCAGTGAATTTATAAGAGATCAATTATGTTCCCTGTTTTTACAATTTACGCCGTCATATCTTTTTAAGATATTATTTCAATAAAGTTCTTTAACTTCGGGCCCAATATACAAACAAAAGAGATGCATATATAAAATATAGCATATAAAAACGGTGGCATCTCTTAAATCATGCCTGTAACATTCCTGAAAAATTTAATTTAGAGTCACAGGTGAAGGCCGGAAGATGGAAACCCTGTGATGGTAAGCAAATACGCCTCACGATGAGCAGAGCATTCGATCCTGAATAATCTGGAATAAATCAGTTTGAGTAAAGTCTGCGCACAAGAAAGTCATTTCACAAGACCTTGAATGTTGCTCCAGGTGGTGCAAGGGTTTGGATCTCTCCTCCAAGAATTGCAAACCAGTATCTGCAGCTGAGACAAAAAACGTCATATGCTCTTATCTTTTCAAAAAAATTTAAGCAGACTTATAAAAGACTATAACAATTTTACGTATATTCATACTATTCAAAGATAAAAGAGCGGAAATTCAATGAAGCTATCTTACATCGTAATCTCTGTGAAGTGAGGAGCATAGATTCGATTTGAAAACGACAAAGTCAATATCGGATGGCCTCGTTCATTTTCGGGCCTTCAGTGTCGGATAAATTCGGATTTTTTGAATAATGCGTTGGGCGGATTTATGTGGATATTGTTGTTAATAAAGATGGTCAATTTCATTTGTTTCTTCATAATGGGAGAATAAACGAGCGCCTCGACAAAAAACATTATTCATAACTTTCCCAGTTGATAACAAATTTTAATAAAATTGCTGGAGAAGAAACTATTATCGATTCTAATCGATTTTTGAGATCATGTCGAAAAACGTCCGAAAAAAACCGAGAATACGAAAAAACTATGATCCTAATTAGCAAGCCTCTAGAATATGTTCAACGACTGAAGTATTTATGCAACTTATTGTCAATTTCATGGATGTAAAATGACTCTTGGTGGAGTTTCTGAGAAATAACTGATTAATTGCGAAGAAAAAGTATTGGTTAGAATCGAATACACAGGTCTTGCAAGTAAAACATCGTGCATTGAATTTACATCTGGTAAAGGTGTAAGATAGGATGCGGAAAGGGAAATGTGAAGAAGTGGCTTTGAAATAATTCATTCAAGGTTTTCAATATTTAACTACGATACTTCTGGTGGTTCCTCACAATCAGTCACAGTTGTTAACTCATAAAGAAGATACATGTTACGGTTTTGTTAAATGATATGCAAATGGATGTTATTAAAATAAAATTGAAACAAAACACATTTCTTATAATGTGGAATGCGACTTGTGACTGAAGTGTTTGTGACTCCGCCAAATATATGACGATTTCGAGTGTAAAACGCAAAGTTAAAGATAACGCGAAGTTGAAATAGTAATAAAACAATTGCTCTAATCTGCTAATTAGCTAACCGCGAGCGTAGGACGCTCGAAAATTACGGCAGTACTCGAGCGATTTGTATTTGTATTTAGGCATTACATGTCCCGTAAAGGGCAACTGGCCTCGACGCCATTAGATCACCTGGTTTCCAGTCGGTCACCAAACTCGCACGATGTCTCAAATTCGCTCAACCGTCGCGATTTCACATAGTTAACGAATTCGGCTAGCGACGCCGGATTAGCGGTCGTGGTTTTTCAGTAGAACCATCCCAGCATTCGCCTTGGTGACCGAGGAAAACCACGAAAACCCCGATCAGAATGGCCGGCACGGGAACTGAACCTGAGGCTCCCGATTACGAACTTAGCGCGCCAGCCCCGAGCCATTTGGCTCGGAACTCGAGTGATTGCTAGCGACCAAACAGTACGCCTTGAAGCACTCCAAGAGACGCACTCACCTGGAAGAAGACGGTGAAATAGACGACGGCGATGGTGGTGGTGACGAACATGGGCTGCAGCGGGATGTGCCTCTTGTCGATGAGCAGCACCAGCGCGAAGGCCACGGCGCCGCGCAGCCCGCCGTACGACATGACGAACTTGTCGACGCGCGTCAACTTGTGCAGGCGGAAGCGGTTGGCCACCGCCGTCAGCAGCACCACCCCTGCGCACCAACGCACCAACGGAAATTAGCGCGCTCAGCGGCAAGGAAGTCGCGCTCGCAGGGGAGATGTTAAGGTACACGAGCTAATTAATCTCAGAATTCTTGGTTTAATCTACAGAATTCTTAGTCTAAACGTCACAACGTAAAATCAACTTAGCGTCAACGTGACTTCAATGAAACGTCAAAATGACTCGAAGCATCGTCAAATATTGGTGTCATGGTTATGATTAGGGTCGGATTTAATGAAATATCATTTTTTACTTTTCCGTATACCTACATATATAATATACGTAGTACAGGGTTAATGCTGCGGAAAGTCGATTTCAAGATTTCAACGGAATACACGTTTTGGGGACCGCTTATACCAAAAATATGTTGTTTTTTTGTTTTGTTTTTCAAAACTTCAGTCCGTCTGTCTGTTTGTCTGTCCGTCTGGTCTGATGTATGTGAACATCACTAGCGCCTAAACCATAGGATATTTTGCAAATTGAAGAAACCTCCGTCCATTTAGCCTGAGTCAAACCTCTGCGATTTTGAAAGTCATCTTTGTGTTTGAGGGTACTTTACATGACGTCCCTGGAGTATTTTCAAAATTTTCTCAAAAACGGCTCCAAATTTTTTCTTTAAATTTCTTTTAAGAATAGAGTAAAATAGACAAGGTGGTACAGATCCGATTTTCATAGTTAACTCTGAATTTTCCAAAATTTCAAAAGTTTGATTTTTTTTCGGGTTCTTCATACAACTACGAAATTAAAGATAGAGATATTTCCTTAAAAAAACTTGTTGTCCGTAATTTCTTCTTTCATTAAAGCCGTATACATTTTTTGAAAACTTTAGTAGTTTTCTCGCAATATTGCGGGCAATGTGTGCAATTTTTAAAAAATTACAAAAAGACGATTTTCTCAAAAACTTCAAGAGATCGGACCAGGATATCAGATAATGGTGTCTACATTGTGGTATCCGCCATATTTATTGAAGTCTCAACAGAAGACCGACCACAACATTTGGTGATATCTTGCACTTTCATTCATTCGAGAAATTTCATTCGAAAGATTTTGAATTTTTTTGCGAATCACAGTTATATCTAATAAGAGATAATTGTATGTGTAATTACTTCCATCATGTGGATTTACATTTACGTTACACATATTATCGTTTATTTGAACAATAGAAATCCAATAAAAAGAGCAACCATTTCATCCCGTTTCGTTCGCGTTCGCATACGAGTATTTACTACGATTTCACATTTAGAGTTATTCTACCAATGATGAGTTGTTTCATTTTTCGAATTCTGTTGATGTTTTAACGGTCGCAGTGTTTTTACTACAGCGAAATCAGGGAGTGTTCTGACGGAACAACGCGCTTCCCAGGAAGTTTACGACCAGATCGTCGCCATGAATGCAAAATGGCACGCTTGCTACAACGTGCGAGCCCTTTCAGCACAGAATGCAAGAAAAGAACGTCGTGTCTTTCCCGTTCTATTTTTGCCCTTAATGCAACAGTAAATACTCTGTCTATTCCAAAGAGACGCTCTTTACCACCGTCGCCGAAGTTAGAATTGCAATGGAGGAAAACATTGACGCATATTGCTTCAAAACAATGAGACATTTTTATCCGATTGGATGCTGGAAGGAGGGTTTCGTTTCACCGTTTCTTCCGTTTTCATAAAGTTTTAACCAATAAAAATTCAGGGATTGACCGATAAATTAAACTGTAGAAGTACTATGCAATTGCTTCAAAACTGAAATAGCTAGCATTAATAAATTAAAATATTTAAGAGTCGAAAGTCATTTGATTTATTTAAACATTTATTTTGTAGTGTTCAGAATATCAAAATATGTGGTTTAATCTAGTATCTAAACTGTAGCGATTCATTATAAATGAGTGCGTTGAGAGTATTAGGTTTCCTTTTTCTTAAAGGACGATAAATTCCTGCAATTTGGAAATTGTATTAATTATTAATGCCAGTGTTTTGCATACAAATAAACCATTGTTCTTCCGAAACTATAAATACAAGTGCAAGCTGTTCTTCCGAAAGTTTTCCAAGTGCAATCCAAGTACAAACGTCATTGTACAGCAAAGGCAAATTACTCTGACGTCGTCTGTTTGAGATATGATAATGTGAATCACAAGAGGGAATGCATAAAATCTGGGGATGTATCATATATTAACTTCATGAAGAAAATTTGACCAATACTATGTTGCACGTTATTCTGAGATTTTTATGCGAGCAGGAAATTCCCTGGGAGTCGTTAAATATTGCTATGCCACGTTATCTTCTAATTCAGATTGTCAATAATATTTAGATATTAAACGTTTCATATTATTCCGTGTTTTACAATTTACTGTATTACTTTTCAATTGACGGCGCTCATTCTAATTATCCGTTATTTATAGTTGTTATTATAAATGTCAGTAAAAATTAATGAGAAAATGCCTAATAAACTAGAATTCTAATATATTGAGGGTTCGTAGCAAAACTTGTAATACATTTTCACCGAACTTTCACGAACGGCAAACAATTTAGAAAACTAATTAATGTAAATAACTTGTAAAAGTGAAAAAAACTTTATATGTCTATGTGTTGAAAACATTATTACTTTTATTAAGATAACGTTCCATTAAGATTCATGCTCAGGAATTTCCACGCATTTATCGAGAGAAATGTCTCATTTGTTTCGGACCTCTTTTAGAGTTATTTTGAGTTCGAGGCAACCACCAGTGATATATGACACTCAAAAATATGGTTCTTGTACACTACATTCGAACGAAAAGTATGTTGGGGAGAATGTTAAAACTTGCTTGCAAGTGGTTGCAGAATGTTGCCATGAACCAAAACCGTCAAGATACAAGTCGAACAGAAAGACATATTGAGGTAGGAGAAAATCTGACGAATGCGTTTTAATTTCCTTTCTAAGCAAGTTGAGCTGAAATATCGACTCTCATTTACCTAAATCAGTTCTTGCGCTGGATCAAATTTGTCGGCGGTGACGCACTTTCAAGGTAATCACATTGCGTGTCCTTGAGGAAAGGCCTTTTCGCGGCGTTGCTGCTGGGCGACGGACATGAACTGGGCGCGGCCGACGGAACGCGGGCGGGCATTGTGTAACGGCGAAAGTGACTGACGGCCCAATGCACCCCGCCGCCGAACATCGGACAACTTGGCGCTCGACGACCGCACGGGGGGGCAGAGCGAAGAGACGATTGACAGTGGGCCCTCGCCTTAAACCATTGCGACTAACTTGGAAGGCGGGAGGCATCTATTTTTCTTAGCCTTTTGCTAATGATATCACCAAACTACGTCTGTGTCGAGATTTATTATTTTCTGTTACATAAAACTGATATCATATGCGATCTACGATGCGCGGTTTAACTGAAATTTTTAGGGTAGCATGTAACAAAAAAGCAATTCTAAGAGTTAAAGTGACTTAAAGATTTTTTGAGTTGTATTTTGCTAACTGGGGATCACGTTTTGAGATGTATAAAGATTATCACAGGTGATACCACGAGTGCTTCAGAAATTTTCGATAAATCCCCGACTCGCGAAGCTAGGAGGAGATTTATCTGATAATTTCCAAAGCTCGAGCGGTATTTAATAGAACTATTCCACGAATGAAATTATGTCCAACAGAGGTACAAAATGCGAAAGATGGAATATAATTGAAAGCTATGCTAAGATCAAAGAGGTAATGTTAAAGCACATATTGGACATCGACGTAGCGAACAATGTATACCACCTCCTAAGATAGATAAATCACAGTTTATGATTGGATGTTAGGGAGAAGCGGTAAGAAAAATCGATACAAGAAGCGATAAACTTTTTGAGACACCGCCCTGATTGGGGCATTTTGTATGTATAGTTAAAAAATTTATTGGTTTTAATTTCACTAGTGGAATAGATCTTTTAAGTTATCAGAAATAGATTATCAGGTTGCAGGTGTCCGAATAACTCGATATTATTACAAAAATGCAGTAGTTGTTTGGTAAACCAGACCAAACGAGATGTATTTATATATTTCGGGAGAAATTAAATGAGATTTAAAATAATTCTGGATTCAAAAGTAAAAGTCATCGTTTCCATGAGACGCATAGAGAAATAAATGTAAGTAAAATGTGTTGTTATTTTGTTATATTATTATTATTATTAGTTTGATAATAGTTCTCTGATGACATAATGTTCTCTGAGCACTGTCGCTGAGCATAAGTTAGTATTCTTTTCCCAGCCCGCCTACTTTTAATCTATTTCCTCCCAAGCCTTTTGAAACCTTTCACTGGTCTAGTGTCGACCCTTATAGCTTAGAATATCGGTCGATTCTTCTATATGGCCACCAGCCTGTGACGGAGACAGGCGAGCGCAAGGGCAACGACCTACCGGTTGCTGCATCTCTCCCCACAAGCTGTTGCGTAAGAAAAGACATTCAAAACTTTTCATTAAACGTATTTTAGTGATATAATTATTCAGGAAAGTGTATGGTAATTGATGGTTTTAAACATTCTTGAAGACATTACAATTAACGTGGAATACATTTTTAAATGTGGGACTCCTTTTTCAACTCACAAATGGAATACATAAATACAATGACAACGATTTATGAACTGGAAGTACAATACTAAAATATTGCACTCAGAATGAATTTACGGATTTAAAATTGCTTTAGTTTTAGAAAATTCTTTAAATGTGAATAAGGTCTCAAAAACATGAGCATGAACAAACAAATAAATAAAAGGAAGAGAGACTGCGACTGCAAATAGTCATAAACCCGTTCTGTGGATCCAAATATGAAAATGTGTGACCGCAATAAAATTAAATATTTTTCTCTGAAAAAACAATTTAACACAACAACGGCAAAGGAACTACAATTCTGTACTTCAGAAGTAAATGGCACTATTTAACATTTATCTTCTTTTACAGAGAGCAATTTAATCATTTTTGTCCTTTGTATAAAAGAGGACAAGTTGTTGAGTGACTTCTTTTAACTTCGTTATTACATTTTGGATGTAGTTCACAATTCTTCCAGGAAAGGCAATGCAATTGAATCAAGTGTGTGGAAGTATCTCTTTTTGGCCAAAAATTAACTTATGTTGGAGGTGCAGTCTCTTGACTTCCGAGGTACAGAATTTCAATGTTAACATTTCAAACCTGCGCCTTTTGTACATCTTCCGGCACAAAAACGATCACTTACCGATTGCGCGATACACGGAACAGAAGATGATAGTGAGGAAGACGAACCAGGTGTTCCAGTCGTGCTCGTCGTTTACAGTGGCTACGCCCAGGAACATGAAGATAATCGTCTCAGACGAAGAACTCAACATCTTCATTGTGTACTTGATTGTAGTATGTGACTTGTGTGAGATGTTAGATTCGACGTAGTTCTTCATAGTAATGCCACAGAAAGTAATACTGAAATAAAAAATGTCAGGGTATAAATATAAAGTACTAGATCAGGTCACTATAAGTACGAATACTATATTTGGAGCAACTAACTTTAGCAGACTGGTGAAGCTAATTAAAATAGTTCTCGTAGTTTTACACTTGTGTGGAAACTTAAATGTAAAATACCACTCTGGTGGTCTACGTGTTTTTAGGATTTGCAATGGAAAATACATTTTTGTCATATAAGTGAATATGAATACTTAAATGAAGTTTTGTCTTGATTTTTCTAACAAAATAAGAGTCGAAACGTTTTCACGAACGCAAATGAATTATCATCCTTATTTAAAATCTATATCTATAACGGATTTGTTCGGTTGGATTAACATTTTAATGGAATTTCGTAATAGATTTGACCCAATTGATTAGAAAAGTTTATCATTACAAAATATCCAAACCAAATAAATCAAGGTGTGACTCTGAGCTATAATTTCCACTTCTCTGAACACAATTAAAGGAACATTTTCTGTTATGACAACTTCGAATTATAGTTTTAAACGACAGTCTTTAACAGCTCTTTCAACATTCAATGTCGTAAATGTTTAAACATTTTGTGAATAAAACATAAACTTAAATTTCTTTAATTTTTTAAAAACATTTATTTTATTCAACGTGATATTCGTGCTCTCATGAAGTTTTGTTTATTTCCTCCAACATGAAGCTACATTACCGGCCCCCGACGGTCGAGAATCATGCCATGCAAGCAAATCCATCTCTGGTTGTCATTCGCCAACGAAGCCAACATGTGTTGGCGGGCCAGTTTCAAGAGTTCCCCGAAGCAATGCAGTTCTTGTTTGAGCTATCGCTGGGACGCGCCCGCGCGTTTCGATCGCCTGCACAAGGGGCCGAACGGGGGCGTTAGGGCTTTGAACCCCGCGCCCTGGAAGGGGCTGCTGGCCGCGGCGGAAGCGCCGTTCCGTGTTGGGCGGCGGCCCGAGGGGCGGGCGAGGGGCGGGGCGAGGGGGCAGGCGAGGGCGGGCGAGGGGGGGAAGGAGGCGGGGGGGGGGGGCGGGTGTGGCGGTGGTGGCGGTGTGGCGGGTGTGGCCGGGTGTGGCGGGTGTGGCGGGTTGTGGCGGGGCGTGCGGCGCCACTGCGGCGGACGCTGGCCCGGCGGACGCCAACGACACGAGAGAAGCTCGAGAGGACGGCCTTTTCCAGACCCGTATCGCTATCAGCGCAAAGTAACTGCTTCTTTCTTGTCAATTTTCTAGCGATGAAACCGGAGAGGTCAACTGATGTCAATGCAGTGTCTCTAACCAGGAGGTCATAGGTTCGAGTCCCGACAGTGGCTAGATTTCAGACAGTAGCTTGTCAGCCAGATCAATTTAATCGCTGTCTGGAGGAGAATTCTAGAGGTCGGCTGCTGATCGGTAGTTTTCCGTGGTTTCTCCGATCAACACAAGGCGAACGCCGGAGCAGTTCCCTAAGAAACGGGCCACGGACTTCCCGCGATATTTCCTTCCTCTTACTTGTTCTATCCTCACCCCTTACACACACACGAACATGCACTACACTACCACACAACCGAAAGGCCGGTCCGGAGCTTTGAGCTTGTCCCGACTGAAGCAGTGCCCCTGTGGTGAGATATATCTGGTTGGGGAGAACCCCCGCTAGCTGACGGTAGGTCGACGCCAGATCAGGCCATACAGCGGAGGAGAATCACGGCTACCTCCCGAGGAAAACATGCACTACACTTACGGGACTAATGACCTCAGTAGTTGACGTCCCCAGAATCACTAAGAACCATCTAGTGGTGAATGATGATTTAGATGATCATCTCTCTTATATTATTATTTTTTTAAATTTTGACCGGATGCGGTACCTCAGTAGCAACACCGTTGCCCCTTCAGCATCAAAGGATAAGGTTCCAGTCGTAGAGTTCGTCCAGATGGTGGCGGATTTTCGATAGGGTCGAATTCAGCTCCTGTCTGGAGGGGAATTTTCGTGAACGATTGTTCTGATCGTAGTTGTCCGCAGTTTTTCCGTTAAATTCCAGATAAATACCCTAGCAAACGTGTCTTCCCTTCCTCATTATTGTCTCACCCCTTACACATGCACACATTTTACATTCACTACACCAAGCCACTACCACCCACTCGGGAGTTTTGACCTGTCATTATACTGAGCAATGTAATTTTACAGTTATCATATAAATAATTCGGCCATTTGCATCCCGTTTCCCGCAATTGTAGCTGCAACTCGACGATCGAAAGTACCAGTGTCTCGAAAATTGCAATTTGGAACTCTGGTATGTCCCAAAAGGTTGCTCGGTCTGTGCGTTTGTGGCGCCTGCCGGGACCGAGTTCGAAAACAATTCTTCCTTCCCATCTATCTCTTCCAAACCGAACTGGGATTGACTAAATGATAACGTTTCCTACTTAAGCACATTAAAGGAATTGAAAACATTTCAAGGTCTAATTTGATAAAATTTACGATTTTTTGACCTCAATTATTTACAATAGGCACACTCTTGCCATCAAACAATTTATCTGCTAATACTGTTTCGAAACCGTGATAGATACAGACATTTGATACCTTGGGGATTTGAATTGGTCACGCCAATCACTGCCGCTGTCATGGTCGAACACGGACAAACACCGTCCATAGCCGACCCTTCACCATGACCTTCCTGAGGCTCTTCAGCCGTATCTGTTATGCTTGAAGAGTCCGCGAAACGGGAGACGTAATCTCCTCGCCTGTATTCACAGCATGGGTAACGACCTCTCAGAATAGTTCAAAAATATTGAGAAATCGACTAAAATACTGATGTAGTTTGTGGCTAACACATAATTTCTACCTTCAAGAAAATAACAAAATGCACACTATTGACTATTTAGAGCAATTACGTTGTAGAGAAGAACACATTCTTGTTACCGCTGCGAACAATTCATTTGTAGTCACAAAACATCGTGATATTCTGAAACCAATGCGTATAAAAAAATAATGAATTATGAGTTCCTAGTTAGTGGTATTCTTGATTTTGTGAATCAATGAACTTATGAACCAATTACCTTGCCAGCCAATTAAAAATTGCCTCATCTATGTCTCTCCAATTACAAATTTACCTCTTCAGAGCTGTTTATCACATTAGATGAACTTTTTTTTATGAGCATGCCATCCAAGAAATGCTTATCACTGGACCAATAAGACAATATTTTTATAAAAGTGTAGATATATCTTAAGTGGGAGAGTGGAAACCTTTGAATTGAGAGCACTTTTAAACATCGTCTATTCCTTTTAGAGGGGCACTAGGGGTCCCTCTAGGGGAAGAAGGTTTACAGTAGATGTTTTGTCTCCACCCACCTGCCTGTGAGTTTTCATTGTTAGTGACGATGTGTTCCGAGGTGGAAAAAAACACTTTTTTTGCAGTGGGCATTACAAGATACCTGCAGTGAGACAAATGGCAAAACAATATTTATGTTTATGTATACCTTCACTTGAATTAAAGGATTATAAATCAAAAAGAGCGGACGTCTAGAAACACTGTGCATTTCGTGCGAGGCTCCTGTTAATTCAACTCCATGGGTTACTTTGAAACAAATCTTGGAAAACATTTTAAATCTACTAAACTGCACCTTCCCACATACGTCAATTGCCAAATATGCAGTGTTCCGTAAAAATAATTTGTGATATTTCGTGAAAGGGAGAAGGGTCCCAAAAACAAAATAAATTAATGAACAGAAGGCGAAAAAGAGAGTCCATAAATGACTGCAAAAGCTCGAGGAGTGGGGATCAAGAAGAGAGACGTTTCGTACGCCTTGGCTGTAGCGTTCGGAGATCGCGAGGCAGTTAGCGGGAGCCCGGGGGCGGCGGCTATTGTAAAGGGCTGCTGCTGCTCGCGTCCTTGGCGGCGCGCGATAAGTTTCGATTCAGTGCGTCGCTGGCGAAAGGACCGGAACGGCGGCGGCGGCGGCGGTGAGGCGCTCGCGGCGTCGCGTCACGCCCAGCGCTCGCAGCTGCTCCCCTGCCTGCCTCGGTCGCCGCTCCGCCTCGCTCCGCCCACGTGGCACGTGCAGGGGGATTAATGCAGAAGCAGGGCACGTGCTTAAGCCACCCGCAAGGTGCCTCCTTCCCCCAGTTATTTTTTAACAATTTGTATTCGTTCCAAAAATGTGTGCAAATATTTTTATGTTTTATTAATGATACCAAAAGTAACAGTTTTATGAATGATACTAAAAGTGTAAAAAAGTTATTTAATTCAGGTTATAAAACATGAATAACTTGTACTTCAAAACGATTATAAATTATTGCAATTGATTTCGTATTTTACTATTTAAATAAATCAGCTGTAGATTACATAAAAAGTTATTTGAGAAACCCATTTAAACTATTCGACATTATATGGATGTCATAATAACGTTGTAGATGATTAACCACACATATTTCTTTTAACAAAAAACAACATTCATTGCCGCCATAACGATTCGAAATATATCTCTGCTTCAAAGTAATAGTTTGACTATTTTGAAATTTTATGGGGTTTCAAAGTGGGTCATGCTTTGGCCGAAATAATTCCGTCCCTGAATACGGGGCCTTAGGAGCGGGGGCCAAAGTACTAAACAGTACCTGCCTTCCTTACAGTCTTCCTAATATTCAGAAATGGTATATGGTTAGAGTGTGTTGTTGGATAGTCTCACCTTCTTCCGTTGGAACGGAATTCTACTCCTGGCGAATCCATGAATTTGTGGACGTCAAATCAGTTTGTGAGAGATTTTCCCGGGATGCTCCCATTTCCTCTGCATGTCTTCCCTCATGGCCATTTCGTTAACTATTTGTTTTAGGCATCGGCATGAGTGTGAGTACACATTCAAAATTAAGAGGCTTTGAATGGCTATGATGGTCATGTTACTGTAATTAGTCATTTGTGACGTGCACATTTACAGAAAAACCTGCCTTAAGCGTTTCCTAATGGTTCTAATAAAAAATTGACCGATAACAGTGGTGGCCGCTTAATAAAAGTTATGAAGTGACAGGAAGCTTACTTCGGAGTTATTGTGATAATTTCTATAGAAATAAACGTTCAAGTATTTTAGACAAAGTTTAACTGTAGACATGTGAAGAATAGATCGCGTAATTACGAAGACGTTACATTGGATAACTTTCTCAGAGTGATGTCGTCTCTGTCAGATTACCTTGTCGAACATTACTGGTTATTTCGTGTTTCTGGGCGCGTCGTCTTCTATGATCGCGTAAGTGTAGTGCCTTTTTTATAACGGACGATAGCGCTGTTCTCCGCACGCTTGAGGGTGAGACGGCTCCGGCCTGCTCCTCTTCTACAAACGCGTCACAGCACCAACCAGAACAAGCAGTGAGCTCTCGACTGGTCTTCCAACATGTTCTACACAAGCGTGGTGCTTGTGTAGAATTCTCCTCCAGACAGCGATAGCTACCAACTAGTGTTGAAATTCCTGCCGCCTTCGAAACCAAAAGCCCTAGGACCTTGCGGTCAGAGACACTGCAGTGACATCAGAAGGTACTCTGAGCCACTTTACCAGTCTGGCCTGTATATGCACCGAGTCTTCGAGAACAAGAGCATTAGAATTACGATGAACAGCAAAGTGAAGATGGGAATCTAACGCAGTCCGCGGTACGTTGATTAGATACTGCGACGCCATTTTCCTGGAATAGATTGAAGGAAATCGTAGAAACGACTGAAAAGGACAATGGCTCTCGAGAATTTTCATTGAGGCAGCGGAACCGACCCATTTAGTTACTTGGTTGGTGTCGAACTCCTCACGTGCTCGGGCTATGGGGACTTTTAAGTAAAATCTTCGCTCTTCGAAGTTTCAGTTGTATTCTCACAGATGCCAATGCTGTCGGTGCATCTCACTCCAGTATATCATAATCAGGTATTGAGGTGGTCTTTGTTGAGGACGAATCGTTTATATGATGACAATAATCTATTGGACGGCGAAAGTTGATTCATTTATTTTAGATGTTCATTGTTAAACGAAATACAAAATTGCATATAAACAATATTTTGGTCAAATTCAAACTTTACAACAACGTAGAAATAAATTATGAAAGTCCACATTTTTTTGTTCCATTTCATTAGACTGCTAACACCCGCACTGAAGATGTAATATTTTGACTAAAAAAAATTGATATATTTCTGACGGAACTATAGAAACTCCGATGTAGTTGGATCTTTACTTTGCAGCTCACTTTTCTCTTCTTTGCAACCTTGCAAGTCAGATTTTCCAGGTCTTCCCCTTCTTTTGCTGCCAGAGGTGTTTGGGTTGGCCGCTTTTTAAGAAGATCCCGAATTTTTTCTCGCGGATCGCCTCCTTTCATATTTACGGCTGAGATGAAAGAGTAATTACGTTTGTTTTCCGGCCGGCGGCTAACTCTAACGCTCTGGTTTGAAGTCAAGAACTCGCTTAACAAAATTTACTGAATTAATGAAAGAAATATTAAAGAATGAAAAATAAACTCATATCTTTTAAAATTACGACCGTCATCACAGAAGACCTGCAAGTTTGCGTTTGCCGCTCAGGCAAAAGGAAATGGGCTAATGGGGAAGTTGGCTAATTCGAGATGTGAAGAGAAAAAATAGAAATATAAAGACAGATTGATAATTTAATTCAGCTTTTCTCACGAAAGTATTTCCGCAAGTGTGATGGTAATAAAGAGCGAATCTATAAAATAAATCTCTTATGGACTGTGTAGATTTCATGCATAATCAAAAAGTGAGAAAACTGCACATGTAGGATTAACTTCAAAATGTTAAGAAAGTTGATTTTCTTCTAATTAAGAACTATATGTTATCTTGAGGCTAGAAATCTGAAAAGTTCACACAAAAAATAAATTTAACTTTTGTTACGCAGTTATGAAGTTTATGGTAGTTAACAATACCCTCGGAAGTCATTGTTTGGACTTGAAAGGTTTTATCAGGTCACTTACCTTCGCGTTTTATGCAAATAAATTAAAAAATATTATTGGTTTTAATGAATTTATTAATATTATATTCTTACTTAAAAGTAATTTCTTAATAACGTACAAAAATTGTACGATTATTAATGTTTTGGTTTTTCTTTTTAGAGCACAACATTTGCATAATATTCGAATGCCGATTAATTTACAAATCTCCTTTCATTTACTTTCCGTATAGTATAAGCGTGAATAAGTAGTTCTACTGATGTCTTATTTTTGATCTTATGGGAATACCTGATCATGCTTAGCAGCTATTACAGTGAATAAATACGTTCTAAACGATTGACTTAATGGAGGCAATACTCACGCCAGGATGCCGGACATGTGGAACACCTCAGCGTTGAGGTAGGCCAGGTAGGCCATGACGAAGATGAAGATGGGCTCGATGACGCGCACCTCGTGCGTGTAGCGCGTCACGAGCCCCGTGAGGAAGCCCCACACGACGCCGATGCAGGTGCCGCCAAGCGCCACCACCAGGAACGACGCCAGCCCCGACAGCACGTCCGTGTACACGATGTTCGACACGCCCATCTCCGAGTACGCCTCGAACATGTGGTACAGCACCTGCGGGCGCGGGCGATGCCACGATGGGCATCGATGGAAGTTAATTGTTTTAGAAATACGAAACGAATGTATTTTATTTCTATTCGAGACACGCATTTTGCAAAGCAAAAAAATAAATTTTTCTAATACTTTGTAGAAACAATGCGTTGTAAGAATAATTAGATATCACTTGGGATAGTCCTTGTGGAAGCATTAATCACACGGCATATCTATTTGTTTATTAATTGTCAAAATTAGTAAAAACTATGTGACAAGTGTATAGACTACACCCCTTTTTCTTGAGATCCAGAATTCCCATTCCCCTTGACCTACACATACTTGAATGGCGAATGAAGTTACCAATCAAGCAACATTTGAAAACTAAGTGGTTTCGCTCCAAGTAGCAGAAAACATATTCGCGTCAGGAAACGGGATATTTGAACTTCTTGTAAGTGCCCTGAGAAAAACTTCTTATAAAGTGAGGTAAAATTAAGTTAACAAACAACATTTTACTTTTAATAGAGATGTACTTGTTTAATTCCTTTTTGAATGCCGGTTGTTAAATTAATTGAAATAAATACATTTAAAAGATAACTCAAAATTTTACTTCATTTGATATTTATTGAAAGATACAGCAGAAAAATATCAGATGATCGATATTCAGGACATATCGCATTAGTTTTCCTGCACTTTTTACAGAATACTGTTCTTGTTGAATTTCCTTCAAAAATTCTTTTTAACTAAAGTGCTCTAACTTCGTATAGTTGAATAAGGAAAGTTAGGTAGTTTTATTTTCTAACTTCCACTCTGTGCTAACTTCAGTTTAGAATTCGATGATTTTCTTACAAAAAGAGACAGACCGTTCTGGGAATAAAAAAAAGCAACGGTCAGTACTCCAACGCGGATGAAAGGTGAAACAAATGTTCGAAGCGAGAAGTTTGCTTTTTATCGAATTCGCTCTTTGTTCAGCATTACTACTGGCAAAGAAGGAAGGGAAGAACAGGAATACTCCTGTTGACCAATTTTCAACTATAAATCAAAAATGTACAACATGAGAATTAAGGTTGGGAGAGAAAACTATCTTCCAAATTCATAATACTCATAAATAAATGTAGTGAAAACTGGATAATGACTCCCTAAAATATGTCAGATAAATTTGAACGAGCAAAAGAATTATTTTCATTTTAAGTGGTAAAGAAACTAACAATTTTTGTAGAAACATATACATCCCCTTTTATTTGACTCAACTATCTCTTCCATGAACTCTAGCAGTTCCAGACCATTGGAAGTATCTAGTTGCTCTAATAATTCTCAGGTAACCGAGAAATTGCGATCTGGCACAAGGGATGTCGAGTACCCCCTTGACGTACTGTATTCCCAGAAAAAAATAGCTGACGCCTGAAGACTTAAGGGATCTCCAGGAAGCATTCCAACGGGCTGAGGACTCGGGCAGTTACCAACGCGGAAAGATGCTTGGAGGCGACTTGATTCTTCATTGACCCTCAAATGATATCACATTGTCAAAAGTTCTCAAAAGGTAACTACAATTTATGTCAAGCGAGCCCTTTATTAAAAGATGATCCAGTGAAGTAGTTAACTGAGGACAAAGACAGAGATATCATCTTACACTCCTTGATCTATTGAGTAAATTCTGAGATACTTCTTGCTTTCTTTCTGAACTAAAGTTGATTCATTATCCGCGCCCGTTTTCTTGTACTCTTTGGGATGTTAAGGAGGAACATACTTATTTTGTGAACGATATTACCAAATAATTTTTCTCCATGTTCTCGCGGTAAGCAGTCGCTTCTTTCTCATGGGGCACAATAAGGAATAAAAATAGAATTGCTCAATTGCCGAAGCAAATAGATTTTATTACACGAATATTTATTATAAAGTTTTACCATGAACAGTTTATTCATTTTTCAACTTAGTACAGTATAAAAGTACAGGAATTCTGGAGCTCATGAAAATGTTCACATATTGTCTCTCATCAATACGTCTCGTACAGTTCTTAACCAAATTCGACGTTAAATACACTATACAAAAGTATCCTGTCACGTGGCTGAAAATAACTTCCCAGTGGCGTCCTCCATCGGTTGTGACTGCTGTGAATGTGCCGTAATGCTGGAATTGAAAAGGGTGTTGGCCCACCCTTAGCCTTGATGACACCTTCCACTCTCGCAGGCATACTTTAAATCAGGTGCTGAAGGTTTCTTGGGGAATGGCACCCCGTTCATCACAGAGTGCTGCACTGAGGGGAGGTACCGATGTAGTTCAGTGAGGCCTGGCACGAAGTCAGCGTTCCAAAATCATTCCAAAGGTGTTCGTTAGGATTCTAGGATTCAAGTCAGGACTATGTGCAAGTCAGTCCATTACAGGGATGTTATTGTCGTGTAAACATTCCGCCACAGGCCATGCAGTATGAACAGGTTCTCGTTCGTGTTGAAAGATGCATTCGTCATACCCGAATTGCTCTTCAGCAGTGGAAAGCAAGAAGGTGTTTAAAACATCAGTGTAAGCCTGAGCCGTGATAGTGCCACACAAAATAATAAGTGTAAGTCCCCATCATGAAAAACACGACCACACCATAACACCATTTCTGGCGTGTCGAGATACTTTTGAAAACACAGTGTAAATATGTTTTATATTCTAACCTAAAACAGACTAATGCGGTATTCTTGGGGTCATTAATTAAACTTATTGTTGGCGATAATGGAGAGTTGATTTCGTTTACGTTATTATCTTACTATTTTTCTAGTCAGTACAAGAAATACCTTGAAGTACCAGTGTTCATGAGGACACCGTTGCTTCAAGGAAATCATCGTTCAGCGTGGTTTGAAGGCATGTAGGCATGAAGGAATGTAAGGCGATCGGGAGGGAAGAATCGGCGGGCAGCGGAGTTCGGAACTTACGACAGTGACAGCGTCGTTGAGCAGCGACTCGCCGAAGACGACGATGTACAGGATCTCGTTGACGTGAATCTCCTCGAAGACGGCCAGCACAGCCACGGGGTCCACGGCAGAGATGAGAGCCGAGAAGACGAACACATGCAACACTGGGGCGGTGTTGTGGTCGCCGAACAGTCCGCACTGGCCCACGGCCCACAGCGACACCCCTGGGGACACCACACAGCACATGAGTGGCTTCAAAGATTGGTTGGTGTTTTGGGCGATTCTACAGCTATTGTCAGTTGTTAATTTTGTGACACGGGAAGTGGCGGTCCTTCCCTACTGGACGTATGTCCCGGTACCGGCGTGTGCCGGGTTCCTCCTCCAGGTATCTACATCAGCGGGGTATCGCCCAAGCCGGAACAGCTCTACGGACTCTACTGGTCTCCCGACATCTTTGGTAGTGTAGAGTGTGAAAATGTGTGTGTGTGTGTATAAATGAAGAGGCAGGAACAAGGGATGGGAAGGAAATACCGCGCGCGGTCCGTGGTTCGTTTGTTAGAATTCCGCTCCAGCATTCGTCAGGTATTGATTGGAGAAACGAAGGGAAACTACTAATCAGATCAAGCCGCCAGCAGAATACTCCGCTAATTAAATGAATTCGATCTAACTAGATAGATCGAATGTGATGAAAATCTGTCACCGGGGAAGTGGAACTCTAATTGTTGACCTGAGTTTATTCAGCCGTTGCAGCACTGAAGAGAAAACACGTAGTGAAATGTGTAAATCAACTTGACGGGACGGCATTGAGCAGTGATATGATGTATTATTTTCAAATTTTCTCTTCGAAACATGTGCGATTTTTTTAATGAGAAAAGTATTAAGGTATTAAGGATTGGTTGGTCCAGCTCTAAGAAAAGGCTAGAGCGCACGGTAATGCTTACTAGAGGTTTGTTCCTCATTAACACTTCTCAGCTAGCATTAACACGTCACCCAGTATAATCGAATGACAACTGGAAAATCTATGTTCAAAGGATGAAATGGAACCTTACAAATATTTTTACGTCTAATTATTTGCCGAAAGTCTCTTCCACTAAGAAATACAAAACACGTCCAATTTAATATAAAATGAATTTTTCCTTGCCAGACGTTTCAATTTTCATAATCAGAAGTCATTTAATTTCGTTTTCAGAAGCTGGACGGGTGCTAAAGCATTGCTTCTGCCGTGAGCTGCCAGTGGCGTTTCCCTGGAATTTGTTAGGTCTTAGAATTTCGCGCGCCGGAGAGCATCTGAGAGGGAGCGGTGAGGTATCACATCCCAGAGTGGGGAGGAGAAGAGAAGTGGGGAAGCGATGAGCCGCGGAGCGGGTAACACGTTTAGGGAAGGCGGAGCGGGCCGGATGGCAGCGTGTGGGACGGAGGAAGGTTCGTTACCCGCGTTTCGCGACAGAGCGTGCTCGGTGGCGGCGACGGCGGATGCCTCACACTGGCCAGGCAGAGATGGCGAGAGTTCGAGAGGAATTTGACGTTGGAATCGTGTGACCAAAGGCCCAGAGAAAAAAGATTGCTTATTGTTTATTCAGATTTATAGCTTCCGTGGGTGGAAAACTATTTTTACACTCTCGAATACGTAAGAATACACGAGAGTTATGTAATGCTGCGGAAAATCCACTTCAAGATTTCAACAAAAATACAGGTTTTGAGGTTCCCTAAAACCGAAAAAGTGTTTTTTTAAACGTCCGTTCGTGAATAACTATGTAATTCATTAACTATTCGTACGATTTTTTTCAAAATGAATACATCCCAATCGAACTGGCTCCATTCGAAGCTTTGCGATTTTTGAAAAATATTCTTTAAAGTTTGGTGACACTTTACATAAAGCCTATTTCCAAAATTTTTTCAAAAATGGCTCAAATTTTTTTCAAGATAATTTTTTCTTACGTTGCACAAACTCGATTTCGAAATTATCACGGAATACTTTAGGAGACTGATACCGAAAAAGCTTTTTTTCATAAACTGGCCGTCTGTCTATGAACTACACTAGTGCTTGAACCGTTCACAGAATTTTCCTCAAAATCAGTATTCCTCGGTCGCTCTGGACGTACTCCTACTTCTACGAATTTGAAGCGGAATTTTCCCCTTTTGGAAGTACATTAGTTCCGAGGATATTTTTAATGCAAAAAATGTATTCAAATTTCTTCTTTATTTTTCTTCTTTATAGAGCAAAGTAGACGTGTAAAAATAAAACAAACGGTTTTGTTAAAATCTATTAAGTTTAAAAAATTACAGAGATATTTAAAGTCTCTTGTAAAACCACATTTTAGAAGATAGATGGTTTTACAATGAAATATAGTTTTAAAAACTGTATCTGTAAATATTGTTTTGAAGTACAGTCTTTTTTGAAAATGAGTACTTTTACTTTATTTCGATCTCAACAATTTTCTACAAAGACGCTAGCAAAATGTTTTCAAAATCGTAACAAATTTATTTCCTTATACTTTTTGTAACGATAGAGCACAATGAACTGCATTATATGGAACATGGGCCATTTTTCGATTTTAAATTTCTTACGTATGTAATTAATATTTTCAATAAAATATTTTTAATTGTTCGACAAACGTGTTTATTAATATTTAGGGTTGTCGTTTATTTTTAAATTATTATATAATTAATAAATAATAATAAATTATTATTAACTTTTCGGAAAAAATATTTCAAATTATATCCACGTTTTTCAACGTCTCAATACTTTTCGAATACAATATATATATATATATATATATATATATATATATATATATATATTACCAGTTAGTAAAAACTTATTTACCATACGATTTGTTAAGTCATATTAAAACGCATTTTGAGTTCGGGGTTCTCAGGGCCAACGGTTTTCCTTAAACCTTTTTTTCAAGTTGAAAAAATTTTTGAACCAATTTAGCCTTTTCAGAAAATTGCAAATTCGAATCTCCCGCACTTCTTCCACGGAGAGCTTTTTAGAGTTGGCTAAAGAGTAAATGGGAAGACGCTCGACAAAATTATTTACCTAGCACACATTATACTTCTCTGTACTAAAAATGATATTTTCGTATTAATCCGTGTTCCTAAACGGTGTCTTCGCTCTGAGTTTAACTGTGCAATCCGCTTTCTTCAATCACGTCAGGTTTTTGAGAAAATTAAGAATTTATTTTTTTTAAAGTGCCGTTTATATTAAATTGTCTGGTATGATAATTATCTAATGTTAAATTGTGATTACATCATTTTATGTTTTACCATTAACACCAGTTCGTACATGCCATAGATTTTAAGTACATAAAAGTGTGTAGTGAATGTACTTGTTTGTATTATTTATTATAGAATGGCTCGTTGAAAGAAGATGTTTTTGCTAGATTTCAGATCAGAAAAAAATGTGTGATCATAATTTTGAGAATACAATAAGCCAAGCAGAAAACAATACTGACATAACTACAAAGATGCAAAAACTTCCAGAAACAAACTGGAGGAATCCAGATTACAAAATCATTGTAAATATCATGTTGGAAATTTTGAAAAAATACGAGGCTCGAACATAAGTTTAAAGATACACATCCTACATCCTCACATTGATTATTTTCCAGACTGTCTTGTATTTTAAGGAGCGAAACATGTTGAACATGTTCACCAATATTTGAAAGAAGGACCATGACGATTGGACAGTTGACATGTTTGCAGACAACTCTCGGTCCCTGAAATGCGGACGTACATCTCATGCGTATGGAAGAAATGCAAAAAGAAGAAAGTTTATGCCTGTACGATAATATAAATTATACGAGTATCAATATTATTAGTATATCTTTTGTAATGTACATGCATTATGTTTACAATTTAAAAAAATATTCATTTTAGTTCGACAGGCTTTGTCCTTTGAGATGGTTTATTATACAGTGCATTTTTTCAGTTTTTTTGCCTTGGCCATCCATAAGCAGTGGTTTTTATTACTAGGAAGAATGTAAACTTTGTTCTAAAGTAAGTGAAGAAAAGTTGATTATTTAAGTTTTTAGTTCAATTGACAGTTATGGGGGATTACGGTAGTTTGAATCGGTCTTTGTGATACCTGTATTTTAGGTATACAATTACATGATTACATAATTCTAATATACATCACTTTCTTAAGCATGAAATAAAAGAGTATAAATATACATATTGATCATGTATAAATATTAAAATTTTGATTTCATTTTTAACAACTGGACGGATGAAGACTGATCACGTATTTAGAATCAGCACTCCAAAATTGGTGGAGGGGGGCGCATTGACAACAAAAATATCATTTTCTTCGAAATGTTGAGCAGTGTTATACGAGAAAGTATCTGCTCTTGAAGAAACATTACATTTTATTTGTAACTACCAGTGGAACATTTTCAATATCGTACACATGCTTCTGATGTAATGAATGCCTGATACATTCTTTTCGAGCTTTTGATTTCCCCATTTGTCTCTAGTTATTTCTATCGCAAACCTCGGAATCGTTTTTCGACCTTTTCCCATAATGGCTTCTGTGCCCGTCATAGTTTCTTCAGTTGTTTAAGCTCTTGAGAGGCGCTATTGAGAACGATTGGCCGTACCAACCGATCCTCTTAGATTCCCAGTTCCTCCTGGGCAGCTCCCTCCGCCCCCCGGCCGCTTCGTTTCGGCGCCTGCGCCGGCGACCGAGGGGTCCCGCGCGCGAAACGCAATTAATTCGTTAATTACCAGGTTTCCTACGGGAGCCGCTAGGGGCGGCGGCGCCGCTGGCCTCGGGGATAATGAAAAGACGGCGCCGACCCCGGGCCAGGTTGTGGAAGGGAGAGGGGGGCCGGAGACGGAGATGGAGACAGGCGCGCTTTTGGCAGGGGGCGGCGAGATTTCTAGGGCGAAGCTTTCCCCTGAATGTTTCTTCTAATAGTTTTTATTGATGTACAAATACATAAGGTTTAAGCAAGGAAAATTTAGAGTTTATGGGGACGCTGCGATGGCACAACGGCAACGCAGAGGTTTCTGCATCGTCGTCCATCAGAATGTCAAAGTTTGAGTTTCGATGCTGAATTTTTGACTCTAGTTATGGACAAATTCAACCATTGTCTGGAGGGAAACTAACGACCAGCCACTCCTACGATTACCAGGCGAATATCATAGCAGTATCATAACAAACGAGTAATGGACTGCTGCTCTCCGCTTACACACACAATCACATGCTCTACTCTATATTACATATCGGTACGTCTCAGTCGGGGCGACAGATGCCCCGTTTGAGGGATGTCTGGACGAGAAAAAAAAGTTACTTGAAATATAGGGAGTTTAAATGGAAATAATTGACCATAGAGTTATAATCAAGCAGAACTGGGTAGTCCAGAAAGTGTAAATGGACATATTGCTACCTCGGCCCGGAGAGTTGTGTGAAGCGGCAGGAATTTCAAAACGCGATCTGGAGATTTCTCGAGACCATCTCGATTCTGCGGCTTGACAACACCTCTCGGGAAGACTCGCGAGCGGAGTGTATCGGCGCTGTTACAAAGAGAGAGGTGGAGAGAGGTGGAGAGAGGGGGGAGAGGGGGGAGAGAGAGGGGG